GGGAGATTAGTATATTAGAAGTTGAAAATCCTGATCTAAAAAATATGATTACGACATAAACACATAAATACATATAAGATTTATTGAATTAAAATAAAAGAAATGTTTATTATAAGAAATACTTAAATATTAAGGTTTGAGATAAGAATCGGAAAGAAAAAGTAAGTAATAATAGTTAGAAAACACTCTTATAATAAACACTAGTCACACCGAATCAAGAAGGTGAAGATCGCCTTCTTCGTCGCGCTTATATATTCATTCACCCCACCAATGGTCCTAATCACTTCCGTCAATCATTCTCGAAATCTCCAGACTATTCCCAACCGACCAAACAAAAGACTTCTTCCTTACTTCCGGTTCGGGAATATTCGAGAATTATCTGAATTATTGATTAATTACCGAGACGCCAATTTCAATATTTTCTAATACATTATACTTATATTACAGGAAATTTGTATCCTGGAAATCATCTCTGCGAAGGGGTAATAAAATAATTACGTTGAAATGAAAAAGATACTATAATTCGAACGTTATAATCTTAAATTTTATTTATTAGTAACATTATTATCGTTGGACGCATGCTCAACATATAAAAAGTCATATAAACAACTTTCTAATCAAAGTTTTGTTATAGAAAACAATGGCTCAGTCTGAAGGGGAATTTCGAGGAAGACGGTCCATCAAACATATACACAGTTGTTTCTAAACTATAATACGAATTCTTTTCGATTATTTAACAATTATTTCATTATTTTAATACGCTTTAATTATTTTTCAGATTGTTTCAACGCATATACATTGGTTTAAACGTTACATACATATTAACGCACTTTGAATAGAAATTAATTTTAATATGAATATTTTTTTCTAGTTTTCCAGTTGACTGTCTTTAACTTGATTGCGTTCTTGGACCCCTAGGTAATATAAAATACTCCAATTACTTACATTGCAAATAAAATTGTATTAATATTCATTAAAATTTCTGTTTCAGAAGCGGTTTAATGAGTAGCGGGTAAATTTTTTGTTTACCACCATAAGGGTGGTACCAATTGCGAATAAAGAATTTACTTCAGGGATGCGACCCTGCCCACGTGAGCTATGATTCTATCTTACTCCCAAGGATAGAATCATGTTCATTTAACTTTTAAAGTACAACTGCCGTCTTTTTTGTCTTTTTTTTTTTTTTGGGCTTTTTGATATGCATAGATAGATATGCATTTAGCATGGGAAACTGAAGCTTCATTTATATGGGAAGACATCTTCCTCTAATTGTTAGTCGGGCCCAAGGATTCAATTCCGTAAGTTCGCGGTTAATATATTGTGTTGGACTGTACTTTGGAGTGTAGATTTCTCCTAAATTTAGAGTCAGTGGACTAGTCCAACCGGGGGAAAACCACTTAAAAAAAAATCGTGAAAAGTTCTGCTTTGAAAATTACACCCATCCCCCTTTTTCCTATCCCTTTTCTATTTAATCTCTTTTTTATCCATTTGTTTTCTGTTGAAGGTTAGACTATGGTGAGGAAACGACTGCAGGAGGACTAAAGGAGGACCATAAAAGAACAAGAAGTGGACTTGATAATATAGGAATGTATAAAATAATTATTTGTATAAATAAAATTAAAATTTGTATCTTTATATAATTCTCTTTGTAGCATCGCACATGTGTGGTAATTATTTTTAATGTATTTTCTTTATTTATAGGTTTCATAGAACAATTCATAATTGTATGCTCTTTTTAATTATTTTACTGGTATTCTCGACAATAATTCTAAGAAGTTTTTATGGTGGTACTCTTATAGAGGGGCCTAAGAGTTAGGTTCATTCCTTTAAATTATATTCGGATAGTGGCATCTTTAGAATGCACATCCCTCGTGGGTCTTCAGAAGCGGTTACCTCTTCGAGGTTAGACCTGGGCAATGGATATTACTATCCATGTAATGTTTATCATATTTTTATATGCTCTACATTCCATGGCAAGTAAATTCTAGCTAAAGAGAGAGAGAGAGAGAGACCAGAGATTTTTATTGTCAAAAATAAATCGAGTATTTGATAAATTTGATTTTATAGAATACAATCCCATTCAGAATTTCCCACTTACTTTATTATCATTTTATTTTGAAGTGAAAACTTCTTTAGAATGGGAGTGATCTGAAAAGTAAATAAACGCGGTCGGTCAGGAAACGGAGCCATGAAACGGCTGCTATACTAAATAATGAGAGAAAAAGAGACAAACATACAAGATTGAGCCTGCGAGAGAATGAGACGGAATAGAGCTATACAGTTTTTCCTATTCTCGGTCTCCTCTTAATGCTATGCTCCGTAGTTATCGCTCCTGGTTGTATATGTGTGTGTTTGTGTGCGATTGCATACTACAAAGCGTTAACACATATTATTTCGATACTCGAAATGTTTGTAAGTACGAACGATAGAAGGGTAGAAGAATAAACAGAGATAAGCATATAGTTATGCGACAAAAGTATAAGGTCAAAACCAACCGACGGTAGAAATAAAGAAAGAAGGTGCTTGGTCTGTTTTTATTTTACCAAACGTGGTATTTCTTTTCTATTTAAAAATGTTTCTATTTTATTGAAAAATTAGTATTAAATTATTTATTTCGCAAATATTGTAATTAACAATTACGAAATATATAGAATATAATAATTGTATTGTCTGCAATATTTTTCAAAAAAAAAAAAAAATGAAATGATTATCAGATACATCAGAAAAAAAGAATTAAACAACATTGTAGAATATTTTTCTTATAAATATCCAAAGACATGTTTTTTAATTATAATGTTTGCGTATTTAGGAAATTTTATACTAATTTTTCAATAAAATAGAAAAGTTTTTAAATAGAAGAAACTAGACACGTTACAAAAACAAATAAACCTTATTTACTTTATATTTCCAATAAGAATAAAATAATATAACTTATTTTACAAATATAGAAAAAAAATATAGAAAATAAATTTAAAAAAAAAAGTCATCCATTTGAATGATATTGAAGATTTAAATTTGATGATTTTTAGACAAATTTCATTTTTGTTTATGAATTTTATAACTCGACAATAAATAACTATAAAAAGTGCACAATACAAATTTTTTTAGAAAATTAATTGCTCTATAAAAATGGTGTCTTATGTTTTGGCGATTAAATTAAGCGTTCAAAAGATATTCAGAGACAAAAATCAGTACGCATGAAAGTTTGATGGTGAATATCTTTTGAACACTTAATTTAATCGCCAAACCTTAGACACCATTTTTATAGAGCAATTAATTTCCTACAAAAATTTGTATTGTGCACTTTTTATAGTTATTTATTGTCGAGTTATAAAATTCATAAACAAAAATGAAATTTGTCTWARAATMATCAAATTTAAATCTTYAATATCATTCAAATGGTGAGGTTTACGGAAAAAGTATAAGATACCTTTTTTGTAGAGCATTAAATTTCCTACAAAATTTGTCTTGAACATTTTTCTGTGCAATCAATAAATAATGAGGTATGAATTTTAATCTATTGGACTGAAAAAAAAAACTGTTATGCGGAGGATCTTCCTATTAAAATTAAGAGCTCATATTGAGTGAGAATTCTTTTAAGGTGTCTAGGAACCCATTTTTGCCTGGCACTTGAAAAAAAAAATAAGTCATTTTTTTGACCCACCCTAATGTATATATATATATATATATATATTTCTACTATGTAGATAAAATTTGGTCAGATAAATGTGAAATAGATTAAAATTTTTCGTGTTTGTGTGCTTGTTTAACCATCTGTAAAATACGTTCTTTTTTTCTTTTAACCTTGAAATACCTTCTATAGTGTAAGGCAGGGGTCGGCAACCTTTTGAGTCGGAAGAATCAAAAATTACAATTTACAAAATTTCAAAATTTTTAAAGAGCTACAGAATTTTTTCTTGCCAACAATAAATAGTACTCGGATAAATAAAATTTTTTGATAAAAAAATAACTAATCTATTTATTCATTGGTGCCTAATCCTCGTTAATCGTTCCAGAACTATTTTCAAATGCTTTTTTTTTGATAAAATAAATAATATGTGAGTATGGAACTAAAGAGCCGCAGCTTCACATCCAAAGAGCTGCAGCTTTACATCTAAAGAGCCGCATGTGGTTTGAGAGCAGCAGGTTGCCGACTCTTGGTATAAGGGATTTTTTTTTCTATTTTTTCAAACTTCAAGCTGAGTTTCTTTGTCATTTCACAGGTTATTTTCTTTTGTGATAACTTTCTAAAATATTTTCAACGAAAAATTTCCAAAAATTGATGGATTAGGTAAACGTTTTTAACAAATTTTATTTGCTGGAATAGATCAGGGTGGGGAAATTGTAATATTTTCTATGAATCAAAGTATATTCTTTTTATAATTATATTATTAATAATAATGAAAGATAATAAAAAAAATATTATTTATTAATAATATAGGAATATGATTGTAATATTTTATTTAATTAATAATATAATAATAAGAATAATATCTTATTAAATTAATAATACAATAATAGAAATTGTCTGAAATCGGAAAGTAATATTATAAAAATGACAATTTTTCTTGATTTAAGTTTTATAAAAGAAAAAATATATTTACAGTAATACAATTAGGTTTTTAACTTTGTGTAATTAACGAAAATTTCACAGGATGAGATTGAAGCTATTAAAATTGCATTTAAATACGATTTTTGTTTTATTGGTATTTTATAATCAATTCAAATAGAAAAAAATTTATTTTCGTCTTCACAAATATATATATATATATATTTGTAATTATATATATATATATATATAAAATTAACAATAACAAATATATAAAATAAAACACCTATGTACTAATTATTTATATAAAAAAAAGATAAAATCACTTTACATTACATACTAACATATATATGTATATATATAGTTTTGTACTGTAATATTTACACTATTAACACCTATGCACTTAAATGAATGTTTTTCTCTCATCTTTTTTGGTATTTGGTTTATCTAATCACTTGGGATAACCACGTGCTGCTGCTTCCTTGAACAATGCAACTAACGAGTCCAAAGTTTCTTCACCAGTTGGTGTAATTTGACTTGCTGGAAGTATGAAACCATACCTTCCACGATCACGAAGTTCGTAAGTGTAAGAGATTTGTTTGTGAAGTGATCCTTTGACCCAATCAACGCTACTTCCTGTAGCTATGTCTTTAAATGAACAAATAGAAAAAAACAAAACCATAAAATAATATCAAAAAATAAATAGAGTAGAAAAAGTAATTAAAAGAATTAAAATCGGTTCAGTAGTTTAGGAGTCCATTACGGACAAACAACGAGATACATAATTTATATTTATTAAGAAGATATATATATATATATATATATATATATATATATATATTCTATATAAAAGATTTGTCAAGGATGTGTTATTTATTGTTTGTTTGTATTTAATTTTACACAAATATACATACACATATGTATACTTACATATAGTTTCTGCAACATTTCCTGTACGATATGCAGTGCCGTATCTTTTAGCTAAAGCAGCTATAGATTTTTTACCAACAGCCAACTGTAATTAAAAGAAAAAAAAATATATTTCTAAGAAATTCCATATAATTGATCAATCATAAAAATATAATTAAAATAAGTGTTGTATAGATATTATAATATTACATAAAATAAATTACAATAAGAATTGATTTAGTCATAAATAAATTAATTATTTAATAAAAATTAAAGAAACACAGATGATTTTAGGGTGACTCTTATTTGTCACAAAGAAAAAGAATAGAAAAGAATACAAAGAAAAAAAATAGAAAAGAAAGGTGACTTACCAAATCGTCGTAATTTTCAAGATGAGCCGTTGTATGACCATATGGGAAAAGTAATAATTGTGAATAACTATGGAACGAGACGTATGCGAAAAATTTGTCAGATATCGATTCAATGTATTCAGATAATGATTTAGTTTCTATATCAGAAAATGGACCACTTCCAGCGTATGTTTCTGCACAAGGATTTGAACTGGCACCACCAGCTAAAAAAAAAAAAAATAAATCAAATGAAACTATGAATTATTATTCATAATTTAATCGAAATAAAATATATTATCGTATACTAACTGTTCCATCTGTATCCCCAGTTTCTATTTGGATCAGAACCGTAACAGAAAGTTGAATATGGTTTACGTGTTTTTCTCCATAAACGATTCTGCAAAAATCAAATCAAAATTCACTCATCTATTATCTATTAATTATTGTTGAAAAATGTGATAACATATACATAAAAAAATTTATGATTTTAAATCATGAATCGTTTTCCAATAAAATTATGAACAATTTTCTAATATTTTATTATTTTTACGATGATTATTAGATGAAGAATCTATAAGAATTCAAAGAATTTATTTTTCATGTAAGATATTAAATATGATTCGAAAAATATGTATAACTAATTACAAATTAAAAATTAAATTTTTATCATTATTTATAAAATATATTACGCCTGTAGGTATGCAACTCTGCAGACACACTTTGAAAATGTTGCTTGCAAGCGTCATATGTTGGGACGGCATTTTTTTTCTGCTCGAAAGATAGGCAACCCGTAATACATCAATGTATAAACAGTTTGAGATGAAAAAAATTCCGTCCCAACAGATGGCGCTCGTAAGCAACACTTTTAAAGTCTGTCTGGAGGGTTGCATTACTACAGGCGCACATTTTTATTATTATTATTAAATAAATAATTAGAAAATAAAGTAAAAATAATATTATAATAATATTATATAATAAATTATCTTAATCCTGATAAAATATAATTAAAAAGAAATATATATATAATTAAAATAAAACATAAAAATTAATTATATTTATTAGAGAATAATAATCCTATATAAGGTGTAGTTTTATATATATGTAAAATAATAAAAAATTATAAACAACATACCTTGGTATGGGTGTAAACGTATCCATCAGGATTGGTAACCGGGAAAATGTACCAATTATGTGATTCAGCAAATGCCCTAACTTCTTGATTATCACTGTTCAAAAAACGATCAATCAGGTACAAAACTGTTGCAGGTGATATCCATTCTCTAGCATGAATTCCACCTTCTATCACAATTCCAGGATTGTTACTTCCAAAAGTTAATTTAACTCCTTTTATTTGACGACCTTCGTAACTTTTTCCACCGATGATTACTTCAACTTTATCAGGATGTTGTTGTGCTAAACTATCCAAGTATGCATGAATATCTGCCAAAGTGTTATACGTGTTCAAATTAAAACCAGATTTGGCATAATTTTGTTCCATAGGTATCTCGTTGTCGATCAAATCTTGAACGTCGTCGATGAATTTTGCAAATGGTGTTCCAAGTGAATCCATTAGTTCGTAAAATTCGATTAATTTGTCTGGTGACACCATAACGTCTATGGTTGCGTTAACCATACTTGGATCGTTCCATAATGAAAACTATATAATAAAAAAAAAAGGATATTTTTTTTTATAGTTATATGCAATTAAAAAAAAAATATATATATATATATATATTTATCAGATTATTATTTATATATTATATTATTATATTTATATATTTTTTATATATTATTTATATTTATATATATATATAGGATTATTATTTTTTAATTTGAAATAATAACCAATTAAATGACATACCAATAACATATTAATAAATTATTATTAAATTTTGCTTCTATAACAAAATTTTATAAAATAATTATAGTTTTATTCCACTTATTTTAAATATAATAAATAATATATAATTAAATATAATAATATATAATATAATATATAATTAAAAATATAAATAAAAATTTAATATAGTTATAATAATTATTAATTGAATTAATTTGAAAAATTATTTTTAAAAAAATAATTGTAACATTGTTATGTAAATTGTGTTAGTACACTTAATAGTACATTTATTTGAATTTTAATAAATTTAATTAATTTTGTAGATTAATAAGTAAATTGAATATTATTATTTTGATATGAAAAATGAGAAAAAACAAAAATAAATAATATTTATTTATAAAATATAACTTACGCCATTGTGATGATCAATTTGACGAAGAACTTGGAGTTGAGATTCCGTACGTGGAAGAACACCAAATACTTTGTAATTGTTAAAAGATGCTTTTTGGGCTGATACCCAGGTAACCAATGCCAAAACAAGAAGTTTATACATGATTGCAAAATTCTATAAATAAAAGGAAACAAAAATGAAAATAATAAATCAAAAGGAAAAATAAAGATTGTGAAATAATCGATTTTATAAAAAAAAAAAAATATTTTCTTTAAATTCGTCTTCTTACCCTGTTTGAGATCGAATGAAATATGTGCCAGTAAGATAATCGGACCGGCTATTTAAACAGATAGAAAACACCTGCACACGGCACCAAGATATCACTGATCGTTCTTTCATATTTCATATTTTTTTACTTTTTTTATTTTTTTATTTTTTTTTTTGTTCTCTTTTCCCCCTTTAACAATGACACCAATCGATCAGCGTGATTCTTCTCTTATCATTCTCGTGCTATTCGTAGAAACAAATTATTTTTTTTAATCTAGTCGATCGTAACCATTGAGGAAGAGCATTTCAAATCTAATTAAAGATAATCTTAGATATTGTAGCGGTCAACTTAATCAATTTCTTTTTCTTTTTTATTTTTATTTTATTTTATTTTATTTTTACAACAAATCGATCGTGAATAAAAAAATTTTGTTTATAATTTATTTATTATATTATACGTGAAATAATAAACATATTCATACCAATTTTTATTTAAACCTCTTGTTATTTTCATTTAAAATTATTAAATAAAAGAAATAAAAAATTCATTTATTATTATATTTTCTTTTTTATTGTAATTTATATGTGTTTTTAGTTTTAGTTTTTTTGGTTCTCTTTTTTTCTTTTTCTTTAAAATTATTTAATAAATAATTATTAAATAAAAGAAAAAAAAATTCGTTCATATTTCTTTTATATATATTTTTTTTTTTGTAATTTATAATATGTCTTTTCAGTTTTGTTTTTTTTTTTTTGCTTATTTTTATTTCTTTTTCATTTTCTCTTTTTTTTTTATTACAGGACAATTACAAATATAAAAGATTCAACTTTTAGCATTCCCATTTCCATTTTACGATATTATTATATTTATATATCTTTATCCAAGAATTAATAAGACACAATATAAAAAAAAGAAATAAGAAATAAAAATCTGAAGATGTCGCATCATGATGAATGACTTTTTTTCTTTCTCTCTCTCTCTCTCTCATTCTCTTTCTCTTTTTCTCTTTTCTCTTTATAACTGATGCACGTTCGTTAATTATTTTCTAATCTATAGGAAAAGATTTGACATTTTATTTTATTTTTAAACAACTCGATTACTTATCACCTCAATCAAAGTTGATACTTTCCGATAGATAAAAAAGAATTAAAATTATATACAGGGTGTGTGTTTTATTTCTTTTCTTTTTTTTCTTTTTTTTATTCTTATTTATACATGCATTTCTTACGAAAGGTTGTTTCAAAGATGCAGATCATCTTGCATTATGCATTTCTCATAAAAGGAGAAAAAAAAAAGAGAAAGAGAAAGTAAATTCTACGAATCAGGTATAAAATTATTTGTATCGTTTTTTTATTTGTTTTTTATTTAAAATTTTTTTTTTTAAATACAGTTTTATTTAAACACAAGAATAATTGAAATATTATTTTTTATTACTAATTAGATTACATAAATGAATGATTTGAATTATTAGTTTTTATTAATTAAATGAATTGTGTGTGACAAGTTTTATCTAACCACTTGACATCATAATCGATAGATAGATAAATAGATAGATCAATGATCGATCTATCGATCAATTTTATTACGATAGACGTGACTAATATTTACATTCAACTTTTATAATGTTATTGTTGATATTGATAACAATCATTTGTATGTATATACTATACAGTTTAGATTTCATTGAAAATTGAATTACACTGTAATATTAACAACAATTCTTGCAGTAATATTACAAAATAAAATTTAAGAAAAGAATCAATCTAGGCCAGGGGTCGGCAACCTTTTGAGTCGGAAGAGCCAAAAATTACAATTTACAAAATTTCAAAAATTTAAAGAGCCACAAAATTTTTTCTTGCCAACAAAATAAATAGTACTCACATAACTCGTGTAAATAAATCTTTTTACTAAAAAAAAAAAAGTAATCTATTTATTCATCGGTTCCTCGTTAATCAATTTTTTCTTTTAACTAAAGAGCTGCAAAGGGCCGCATGTGGCTCACCCCTGATCTAGGCAATTCATGTTTTTATTCGGTTAAAAAATTACTCAGCTCGCGGTTGCTGTCTAGGCGATTAAAAATCAGGATATACAGGACAATCATTCTGCCGGTAGTCCTTTATGGTTGCGAATCGTGGTCGCTTACGTTACGGGACGAAAAGAAATTTAGGATTTTCGAAAACAAAGTTCTTCTTAAAATCTTCGGTGCAAAACGCGATGAGGAAACGGGCGAATGGAGAAAACTCCATAACGTTGAAGTACGTCGATTGTACAACAAACCGGACATTATCAACGTCGTAAAATCACGCCGATTAAGATGG